AAGCTGTGTTTACAGGGAAATTTATAGCACCAAATGCCCACAGGAGAAAAAGGGAAAGATCTAAAATCAATACCTTAATATCACAATTTAAAGAACTAGAGAACTAAGAGCAAACAAATTCAAAAGCTAGCAGAAGACAAGAAATAACTAAGATCAGAGCAGAGCAGAACTGAAAGAGACAGAGACATGAAAAGTCCATCAAAAAAAAAAAATCAATGAATCTAGGAGCTGGTTTTTTGAAAACATTAACAAAATAGATAGACCACCAGCCAGACCAATAAAAAAGAAAAGAAAGGAATCAGACACAATAAAACATGATAAACATCACCACTGATCCCACAGAAATACAAACTACAATCAGAGAATACTATAAACACCTCTATGCAAATAAACTAGAAAATCTAGAAGAGGGTACATTCCTGGACACATATTCCCTCCCAAGGCTAAATCAGGAAGTCATCAAATCCCTGAATAGACCAATAACAAGTTTTGAAATTGAGGCAGTAATTAATAGCCTACCAACCAAAAAAGCCCAAGACCAGATGGATTCACAGCTGAATTGTACCAGAGGTACAAAGAGGAGCTGGTACCATTCCTTCTGAAACTATTCCAAACAAAGAAAAAGAGGGACTCCTCCATAACTTATGAGCCCAGCATCATCCTAATACCAAAACCTGGCAAAGACACACAAAAAAAGAACATTTCAGGCCAACGTCCATGATGAACATCAATGCAAAAATCCTCAATAAAATACTGGCAAACCAAATCCAGCAGTACATCAAAAAGCTTATCTATCATGATCAAGTCAGCTTCATCCCTGAGATGCAAGGCTAGTTCAACATAAGCGAATCAATAAATGTAATCCATCACATAAACAGAACCACATGATCTTAATAGATGCAGGAAAGACCTCTGATAAAATTCAACACCCCTTCACACTAAAAACTCTCAGTAAACTAGGTATTGATGGAATGTATCTCAAAATAATAAGAGTTAATTATAAACCTATAGCCAATATCATACTGAATCAACAAAAGTTGGAAGCATTCCCTTTTAAAACTGGCACTAGACAAGGATGCCCTCTCTTACCACTCCTATGAAGTTCTGGCCAGGGCAATCAGGCAAGAGAAAGAAAGAAAGGTTACTCAAATAGGAAGAGAGGAAGTCAAATGTCTCTGTTTGCAGGTGACATGACTGTATATTTAGAAAACCACATCATCTCAGCCCAAAATCTCCTTAAGCTGAAAAGCAACTTCAGCAAAGTCTTCGGATACAAAATCAATGTGCAAACATCATAAGCATTTCTATACACCAATAATAGACAGACTGCCACTTCATGAGTGAACTCCCATTCACAATTGCCATGAAGAGAATAAAATACCTAGGAATACAACTTACAAGGAATGTGAAGGACCTCTTCAAGCAGAACTACAAACCACTGCTCAAGGAAGTAAGAGAAGACGCAAACAAATGGAAAAACATTCCATGTTCATGGATAGGAAGAATCAATATCGTGAAAATGACCATACTGCCCAAAGTAATTTATAGATTCAATGTTATCCCCATCAAGCTACCATTGTGTTTCTTCACAGGATTAGAAAAAACTACTTTAAATTTCATACGGAACCAAAAAAGAGACCATACAGCCAAGACAATTCTAAGCAAAAAGAGCAAAGCTAGAGGCATCACACTACCTGACTTCAAACTATACTACAAGGCTACAGTAACCAAAACAGCATGGTACTGGTACCAAAACAGAGATATAGACCAATGGAACAGAACAGAGGCCTCAGAAGTAATGCCATACATCTACAACCATCTGATCTTTGACAAACCTCACAAAAATAAGCAATGGGGAAAGGATTCCCTATTTAATAAATGGTGTTGGGAAAACTGACAGTCATATGCAGAAAACTGAAACTGGACCCCCTCCTTACACCTTATACAAAAATTAACTCAAGATGGACTAAAGACTTAAACATAAGACCTAAAACCATAAAAACCCTAGAAGAAAACCTAGGCAATACCATTCAGGATGCAGGCATGGGCAAAGACTTTGACTAAAATACCAAAAGCAACGGCAACAAATGCCAAAGTTGACAAATGGGATCTAATTAAATTAAAGAGCTTCTGCATAGCAAAAAACCAAACCAAAACAAAACAAAACAAAAAAAACTATCATCAGAGTAAACAGGCAACCTACAGAATAGGAGAACATTTTTGCAATCTATCCATCTGACAAAAGACTAATACCCAGAATCTACAAGAAACTTAAACAAATTTACAAGAAAAAAACAAATAACCTCATCAAAAAGTGGGCAAAGGATATGAACAGATACTTCTCAAAAGAAGACATTTATGCAGCCAACACACATCTGAAAAAAAGCTCATCATCATTGGTCATCAGAGAAATGCAAATCAAAACCACAGTAAGATACCATTTCACACCAGTTCGAATAGTAATCATTTAAAAAGGTCAGGAAACAACAGATGCTAGAGAGGATGTGGAGAAATAGAACACTTTTACACAGCTGGTGGGAGTATAAATTAGTTCAACTATTGTGGAAGACAGTGTGGTGATTCCTCAAGGATCTAGAATCAGAAATACTATTTGACCCAGCAATCCCGTTACTGGGTATATACCCAGAGGATTATAAATCATTCAACTATGAAGACACATGTATGTTTATTACAGCACTATTCAAAATAGCAAAGACTTGGAACCAACCCAAATGCCCATCAATGATAGACTGGAGAAAGGAAATGCGGCACATCCCCACCATGGAATACTATGCAACCACAAAAAAAGGTTAAGTTCATGTCCTTTGCAGGGACATGGATGAAGCTGGAAACCATCACTCTCAGCAAACTAACACAGGAACGGAAAACCAAACACCACATGTCCTCGCTCATAAATGGGAACTGAACAATGAGAAAACATGGACACAGGGAGGGGAACATCACACACCGGGGCCTGTTGTGGGGTGGAGGGATAGGGGAGGGATACCATTAGAAGAAATACCTAATATAGATGATGGGTTGATGGGTGCAGCAAACCACCATGGCACTTGTATACCTACGTAATAAACATGCACGTTCTGTACGTGTATGCCAGAACTTAAAGTATAACAATAATAATAAACTTCCAGATTCACATTTACCATAAAGAATCACCCCACAGGCAAGGAAAGAAAGAAAAAGTATTATAGTTTATAAATGTGATGGACAGTACTTGATGAATACAATAAAAATTTTCAAATTGTTGAAACAGTAAGTATTTTCTGTTTTTTGCCTGAGTTCTCTGTCTGAAAATATTAAAATCATCCACCAGGATGGGCAGAGATACAGTCCTAGCACTTGCTCCCTTCTTTTCCTTCATGTCCGCAAATAATGACTCCATTAGGCTGGGTGCAGTGGCTCAAGCCTATAATCCCAGCACTTTGGGAGGCTGAGGCGGGTGGATCATGAGGTCAAGAGATGGAGACCATCCTGGTCAACATGGTGAAACCCCGCCTCTACTAAAAATACAAAAATTAGCTGGGCATGGTGGTGCGTGCCTGTAGTCCCAGCTACTCGAGAAGCTGAGGCAGGAGAATTGCTTGAACCCAGGAGGCGGAGGTTGCGGTGAGCCGAGATCGCGCCATTGCACTCCAGCCTGGGTAACGAGTGAAACTCCATCTCAAAATAATAATAATAATAATAATAATAATAATAACAACTCCATTTTGCCAGTTCTAGCTTTAAGAAGGGGAAAATCCAAAACCTTCTTCCTCGGCCCCTTATCTTAGCTGTACAGCTTCTGCTTCGTCCAAGAGGGCTTTGTCACAAAGAGGGAGAGACATTCAATTCACTACTCAGGCAGGAATAAGACAGTATTACACTAAAGCAGACACACAAGGTGGCTTCCATGGAATTCGAAAAAATGCATGTCTTGAAAAATGGGGCTGATTCTTCAGATTTATGGTAATTTCAACTTTTTTCACAAATGTACTAATTCTTCATCCCAGGTAATCTACAAACCCTACTAGACAATGGACAGCTGACTATACATATTTTGCTCAATACCAACATCCTTTATCTTGCTCCATATGTAAATCTTTGACTTTCTTATGATTCTGCCTAGTGTCTGTTCCTAAATTCATTTCATTACTAGCTCTTAGAGAAAAACCATTTAGCATCTTTTAAGAAATAAAAAAGGTTGATGTTTTATAACATATTTCTTGAAAACTAAGGATTTTAACAAGTATTTTGCACACACATGCACAGCATATACTAATGTAGCAAAAGCAAATGGCATGAAAAATTAGAAGGAAATACACATTTTCCACTTCTTGAGTAATGTATCTTTTGGTGCATTTACCCAGTCCCTTGGGAATCAAAACAAACCATGATTTCACCTTCTCCACACACGCAGACTAAAAACAACAGAAGTTGTTAGATTCCTCAGTATTTCCAGGAAAAAATAAAGTGACCTTCAGAAATTCCTATGCAGAGTGGACTAAAGCAAAGTCCTATGAGCAAAGAGAGCAGACGCTGGAACAGAAGGCAGTGTCCAGTGAAGGATCCGCATAGGCTTGCACCTACCCCTGTTTCCTGCTAGGTGGGAACAGATCCTTCAGAAGCAGGAAGACCTGAACGGGTGGGATAAAGTTCCAAGGGAAACCAGCCATGGGGCCGGGCAAACATACAAGATACTGAAAAGGGACCAGTTCACAATGACATCAGCTTAGGACCACTGCCATTGCCCTTCTTCTCACACATATAAATTGCTCAAGAGTTTGGTTGCTTGCTAAGTACTATTTTATGAACTCAAATCGCCATGGTACAAAGATACACCACTGTCCACAGGGGCTCACAGTCTGAGTTACTGAGATAACATGGCTCAGACTCAAAGTACATCAGGCAACAAAGAGTTTTACCTCAGGGCTAAATGTTCTTCATTTTGGTGAATTCTGTTCTTTAAGAGAAGGATGTATTCAAAAACTTCATGGAAAACGTACCTCACAAGAATATGGAGCTCATCAAGCACAATTCATGACAGTAGAAAAAGGAAGTAAAAGCATCAAAACACTTGAGCAGTGTCTGAAGAAAGAAAACAAAGAGGGAGGAGACGTTGGGTGACAGGCTGGGACAATGCATCCTAATTCATTATAAACAAACAGAAAACCACCTCTTTTCACTTAGAATGGCTACTATCAAGGAAACAACAACAAGCATTGATGAGGACACAGAGAAACCAGAACTCTGGTGTACTGCTGCTGGAAATGTAAAATGGTACATCTGCTATGGAAAACAGTACGGTAGCTCCTTAAAGAAAAAACTAAACATAGAATTACCATTGATCCAGCAATCCCACTTCTAGGTATGTATTTGTATACCCACATTCACAGCAGCACAAAGTAAGAACTCAAATATCCATCAGTGGAGAAAAGGATATACAAATACACAAAGTGTGGTACATGCACACACTGCAATATCATTCTGATACACACAGGAATAAATCTTGAAAACACTATGCTTAGTTAAATCAGACAGGCAAGGAAGGACAGATATTCTGTGATTCCACATAGATGAGGTACCTAGAATAGCCAAATTCACAGAGTCAAATTAATTCATGAGGGAAGACAGTAACAGAGCATTACTGCTTATTGGGTACAGTTTCTGTTTGGGATAATGGAAAAGTTCTGCAGGTGGACGGCAGCAATGGTTAAACAATGTTAATGTAATCAATGCCACTGAATTACACGTAAAAGTGGTTAAGATGGTTACAATCTTATTGATATATACCACAATTAAAAAACCAACAACACAGATATGACAAACCTGGAGTAGCTCCAGTCATGGCTGGTCCAGCAGAGGTGGGGCCTGGAGAACATCCTGCATCCCCACCCTCCCCTCCCCTCCATAACCACTCAGAACAGTGCTGCACACACTGCTAGTTGCCCAGCCAGCAGCCCTAAGCCCTCCATTTCCTCTTTGTTAAGCGTTTTGTCCAGGAATCGCAGGGCCATATGTCTTAAGGAGAGACTGGGATATTCCCCAGTGCCAGGGTGAATCTTGATTCACACAGACCAGGTAATTTCAAATGTTTGCTTCTCAGGACCCCTTTATATCTTTCAACATTACTGAGGACCCCAAAGAGTTTTTGTTTATGTGAGTTATATATGTTAATGTTTACCACCAGAAACTAAAACTGACAAAAATTAAAGACAAAATATAGAAGCACACATTCCATCAGCTATCAGAACGATGGGATCATCATCTATCATGTAACCTCTTGACAATGCCACTGCACATTAGTGAGAACATGTGAGTGGAAAGGCAAATAGCAGCTTAGCATTATTATAAAAATACTTTTACCACTGTGAACCTCCTGAAAGGGTCTCAGGGACCCTGGGCCCTCAGCCATGTTTTGGGAATGGCTAGTACAGACCAGTCATGGTATTTACTTTTGCTCTCATATCAAACTGTAGCAACGTGCATGTTATGGAATTCTAGGGCATGAGAACTAAACTTCAACTGAAAGGTTTCTCAGTTTTAAATGAGTTCACTTTTTTCCTTATCCAACACGGTAGTCTTTCCGTGACACTCAGAACAGCAAAAGTCCCCTTAAGACCCAGGGATAAGGAAGCCTGAGAGGACTGGCCAATGTACTGCAAACAGCACAGAAGAATCACAGCCCTGTGTCCTCACAGCATAGTTGAGGCAACGACAGAGCCGACTGTGGAACTGCTCTTTTTGCTTAATCCACCATTCTTTGGCTTTCCTGTTACCTGCAGTCAAACACATCCTTGCTGACACATCTCAAAACCTAGTTTGCTGAGCATATTTTGAAACCCACGACCTCACACAGTACCTGGCACATTGTAGGAGTGTGATAAATATGTACTGAACAAATACATGGAAAATAAATGCATAAACAAACAAACCCACTAAGGCTACTGTAGAGGAAAAATAAAACAGATAAAATTCATACTGATTTTATATTGATAGAAACCCTTATAGCTCCAAGACTGTCAGCATTTAAAACAAAGCTCATTTTAAACTACACAAAAATGGCTATATATGGTACCTGTTGGAGGGACAAGAAAGTCTGAAAATGCTTTCCTTTGATCTAAAACATCTCTAAGCCCAGAGAGCTAAGTCTATTCATGCCAAATATGGATCACATAACCTTCTCAAAGTGGACGCACCTTGAATAAAGAGCTTTTTTTTCCCATTTCCCCTCAGCATGAAGTCCTTTCTCTCATGAAATTAGCACCAAACAGGAGAGAATGCTATAAAACACACTATTTATGGAAAAAGAAAATGAAACAAATCACATACCTAGCTTCCAATCAATGTCATCAACTAGGGGCACCATGACCTTGTCAGAAAATATTTAAAGCCCCTAAAATATAATCAAATATAAAATTAACAAATTTATGTTCAATTCCCCTTAAGTTGACAAGATTCTTCCTCCTCCTTGATGAAAGCCTGATAACTATTTTTAATTTGCTGAAATGTAATGATTCTTTGCTTCACTTCACAGGGTAAAACTGGTCAATTTACCGGCTTTCTTTTTTGAAAATCACAATAAAATACTCTTGTTCCCATGAAGTGCTTATGAAAGAAACAAATGGTATTTTTCCCCCTAAAACCAACAAGGTTTTAAGAAAAGTTCCACTAGGAGGAGCTGGCTATTTCTCTGTTGAGTCAGCGGTGTTGTACCTCTGAGATAGTCTAATCAGAACAGAAGACTTGAAATTTGCAGATAATTTCAAACAAACCTCAATTGTAAACAAAATCTGGGTCTAAGGAATTGGAGGAGGCAACTTCAATCCAGGTGCAGAGTATGTATACAAACTCTTCAGATGACTCTGTAAAACGTTAAGCAAATTGAATCTAGCAGATAACTCTGGGGATTTACTAAGCTCAATTCTCTCACCCAAGTCCCCAGCGGTGGTAGGAGAAGAGCTCTTCTCTGGACTTGGCTTCAGAGTAAAAGCATCCCTTCACCATAGTGCTCGCCTTTGAGGCTGCTAAGACAGAAACCCTGATCTTGTTCTCTATCAGAGCACCGAAGAGCCATCATTTGGACTGGAAAAATATCAGCCTGCCTTCACCTGTTCTATTTCAATGATTACTTCCTTTCTTTGCATTCTTGTCCTCAACTTCACTTACCTGACAGTAAGACTGTTGGGTTTTGGTTAGACCAGTTAGAAAGTGAGCTGAAGAGCACATTAGTTGTCAAAATATTAGGAAGCTTCTTCTTGCCTTTGTGACTGGTGACTTGGCTCCAAGTTATTTCTGCCTCTTTCTCCTCTTGGTTCCACAGGTAACTTATTGCTACCTAAACAAAAACAAGGAAACCCATACATTTATTAGGAACCTATTTTATGACAAGAACCCTGAAAATCATTGCAAACAGAAAGATGACAGTGTTCCCTGCTCTCAAGTAACTTATGGCTAATGAAGAAATTGGGACCCATAACAGATAACACTTAATAGGGAAGAGCTGGGAGAGAAGGAAACACAGGGGGCTGCAGGGAGCATGAGGAAGGGACACCAGCCAGGCAAGGAAGTGTCAGAGGCCCCAGACAGCAATGACCTTGAGCTAAGCAGGTAGGAAGCATGAGCAGGAGCAAGCTAAAGACATCAAAATCAAATGCAAGGTGCTTGCTGCAACGCACAGCAAGAGTTAAATTACCATTTGACCCATGGTTCTCAAACTTAAAAACTATTGAGAGCTCCCAGTATTATCTAAAGTCATTTTTCTTGTTAGTTAAATATTAACAAACATAAAGCAAAAAAACCTTATGCTTATAACTCTTATACAACTATAAAACAAAAAAAAATGTACAAAATTAAATACCAACAAATATACAAAATGAGTAAAATTTAAACTGACAAAATTAATTCAGCATGATCAATGATGCAGTCATTGAAACTCACTAACCATGTGAGCTTAGTACTGACAACAGGCAGGTTCTGTTGACTGGCCAGTACTGACATATGCTGGGAGACAGCTTAATTCACCCATCACTTTTCTCTTCAGAACCACTGTGCAAAGGCAGTCTCTTAGCTCAAACACACTATTTACATTTTCACCTTTGTCCTTTTGTAATATCTCCCTGTATTTAAAGTAGTGCTCCCTGGCACCCATACAAACACAACTGCAGGTACTGAAATCTTAAGACATTACTTGGTTAGAATTGTAGGCATTTAGGTGTGTGGAAACATGAATTTTTTTAAATTACCATCAAAATGAAAAATAGAATGTGAAACATTTAGCATAGAGGACGATAGCATCCTAATAAATCCCACCTGCCTAATCCCACTCATCTTTTAGAGCCTCAGGCAGAGTTTAAATAAATGTATACTGTGGGTCACTGAGCTCTCATAGGAAGCATTCTTGTGGTTAGCTTTTAGTACTATGTAAAACCAAATACCTGACTTTCTTTCCTTAAAACTCTCTGCTCACATGACTTCCAGTTAAGATGGCACAGTGAATTTGCTCTTTGATGGATTTTCTCTACTCCAAACATACAGCAAAGAGAGGAAAAACATAAAAAAGGAAAAGGATGCAGGCAAGCACACACAAAAAATAAACATTTCTATGAAACAGATATGGGACAGAAACACAAAGAGGCAAGGCCCTGAGGACAAAACCTTGAGCAGCCAGCCCCTCCTATGCTAGAATCCAAACAGGCAATGAAACTGTAGGTTTAGGTCTTAGAAAGGCTGGGGGCTAAACAGAGGAGGCACAAAGGACAGAGAAAGAAACTAGCACCCCTGTTGGAAGTTGGAATAGAAGGTGCTGACTGGAGCCTTACCCCTTCATGCCTGAAGGAGGGCTGGCAGCTTCCGTGTTGCATATGGAGTGATGGTCTAGGGAGGGATGGAGGACACCCGCCAGCCAGGACCAGGCATTCCATGAAGTAGCCTGTGACTGCCCAGGGGCCCCCACTATGAAAGCTGGTTCTGCACCCAAGCTCCATAGAAGCCAGGCAGAGACAACCAAAATGGGGCTACAGAGGGGAGAGTATGCAGAGAGGGAGAAAGAAATACGAAAAATAACCGAATGAGTTAAGAAAGTTGTTTAAAACCTCATTCAAAATATGTCATTTAACCAAAGCTCTAAAGAAATAAATGCAACAAAATCAGACATTAGATCATAAATTCACTTTAGATGAAGTTAATCAGTCCAACAAAGGGTATATTTAGATGCTAAAATATCCCAACAAAGTATACTTAAGATAGTAAAGTAATCCCAACAAAATATATTTAAGGTGATTAAAAACACCAACAAAAACAAGTATATTTAGGGTGCTTTTTAAAAAGCTAATTAAAAAAGAATAAGAAAGTATAAATCAAAAAGGCAGAATTAAAAAACGGCTCAAAAACAATCAACTAAAAAGTATGTAAATCAGAACTACAGTCATTAAAACTGAAAAACTCAGTGCACAAGATACTGGACAGCAGACTGGAGAGGAAGCGCTCTGTCTTGCCAAAACACACTGCGCATCACTGAATCTGCAGCCACACAGCTCAGGAGCTCAGCTGCTAGCCCCACAGCCCGGTCTCACTCGGACCTGCCTGGTAGCCTTTCCACACCACAGGTGACTAAATGGTTCAGATCAGCACATCCAGGTGTGAGTCCTACTAGCATTCTGCCTCTCTCCTACCAGTTGGTGGATATATGTGAAGCAACTTTCGCTTTATATAACCCCTACAGAAACTTGCTGAAAAAGCAGACCCCGAAATGCTTCTGGTAACTTCTGGCAACAGATCTGCCCTCCTTGCAATAGAAAACTCATTCTGGATTTAAATTTATCTTTCTTGCCCACCACACTTCTCCAGCATCACCAAATGTGGACTTGACTGGATTCCTTATTCACCATCATGGTATTACAATCAAGTTTGGACCAAGGAACTCATTATACAGCAAAAGGAGTAAAGCAATGCGCTCCTGCCAATTGTCAGCTAAGTTATTACTAGCTGCTGCATGAACCTGATGGCTTTCACCTGCATTCCTTCATCACTTCCAAATTTCTCTACTACATAGTTCATTCTACTGCATCTTCTCTGAAACTAAAACAGGAAACAAACATTAACATAAAGGAAAACATAAACAAGAATGATAGCCTGAGTTATGTGGAAAGGAACTTTGATTTACGGCATCACGGAAGAATAACAATAAAAAAAAAAACTTGGAAAACTGGTAACAAAACACATTACAATTGTTTGATAAAGAATAGAGTCACAATTTTTTTTCCTTAAAAGGTCAGTAAGCTTCTCACTTAGGTTCCCCTGGAAAGCAGAGCTCAGACAGGTTAGAGAAGGTAAAGACCCTAATTCGCCCCCTCATTTCCAAAGACAGAAAGCAGCTCACCAAACCAGCCATGTGATGCCCTCCAGGTGGTGTGCCTGGCAGTTACACAAGGGGATCGACAGGATACAGGCCCTGGAACCAGACACTGTGCTCTCAGAACCTCTCCAAAGCCGATGCTATGCTATGGCACAAGAGCACCACCTACTGAGTTCCAAGGGACAATTTAGTCCATTTATTGAAAAATGGCTCAGTAAAATATGACTGCGGAGGGATGAACCTCATTTCAACCTAATTGGCTATGTCTCTTTCTCTTTCAAAACTAGTACATTTGCCAAGACTCTTGAAAAACCAGCAGCATGCCTTCTTACTCTCCCATTCTCACTTTAATTACCACAGTAAAATGAATCTCTTTTCCTTCCAACCATTTTTGGCTATCATAATGAATACTGCTGTTTCTAGATACCTTTTCCCCTACCTGTTTTCCAAAAGGCAGAGAAAACCTCTAGGGGAGAAGCAGTAGTAGTCCTAAAGGGTCTGGGAAGGATGTATGTAAAGTCAAGTCATTTGGTCAAAATTTTAAGCCCTATGAGGCACAGTGCTGAAATGGGGGAATTGCTTTCACAAACTCATTGAAAGATGATTATAATAGTCCCTTTCTCCTTGAGGAGCTTAAGATGAACAGAGGTTCTAGGCCAGCAAAGCTGGAGATCAGATGATCTCTTAATAAAATGGAATAAAGAAGAAAATACATAGACGTAAGGAAAGAATTTATGGGATAGGTAACATCAGGGAGAGCTGATTGCTTCTCCTGTGCTGTATATTAAACATACAGAATGCAACTGAAAGCAAAGAGCAGGTTCTTTCTGGAGCCCTTCATGCTTTACATGAAACCTTTAGGTATTGCCAAGTACAGAAACCCCGAGACAGACTCACCTGAACAATTTACATACATTTCGGCCTGCTTATCATATAGCTTTGGTATGTTTTATTGGTCTCGTAGGGGCACTCTGGGAACCATTATATGTACAACCTCTCCCATGCCTTAGTCATGATGAAAACGCCGCAACTTTTTTGTGGACCTGAACAGAATGTTAGGTGTAGCAGAGAGGAGCAGTCACCTCTCCAGTATCCATTCTCCATGTTCCCCCTTCTTAACAGGACTGGAAATTTCCCAGCCAGCATATTTGAATGGGATAAGAATGGGCTCTGATTAGGTTAAAGCAGTGGTCATCAACCAGGGACAGTCTTGCCCTAGAGGGGACCCTTGACAATGTTTGAAGATATTTTTGGTTGTCACAGCTGGGAGGAGGATGTCACTGGCATCCAGTGGGCAGAGGCCAGGAACACTGCTGAAACACCTACCATGCAAAGGACAGTCTCCCACAACAAAGAATTAGCAGCCCAAATGTCGCCACCTCATTCCCATGCTAGCACATGGGACCTGTGAATATTACTTTACACGGCAAAGGAATGACTATTACCTGTACAACAACAACTACCAAGTGGTAACGTTCAGGATCCTGAGAGAAGGAGCTTGTCCTGGAATATCAGGATGGGCCACTTGCATCCTTATGAGAGAGGAGGCAGAGGGAGTTGGGAGACAGACACAGATGAGACAGCGATGTGAAGGCAGAAGCAGAGATTGGAGGGATGCAGCCACAAGCCCAGGAATGCCATGCCATTTTAGTTTGTACATAAAATGTGTTAAAATGATGCTTTGTCACTTCAATAAAAAAGAGGAGGCGTGCTGGGATTGATATGGAGGGGGGAGTCATTCTCCTCCAGAAGCGGGAGGAAGCAAGAGTCCCCAGAGGGAATGTGGCCCTGTCAGGTTTCACACTTCCAGCCTCCAGAACTGCAACAAGACATGATTCTGTTCTCTTCATCCATCAAGTTTGTAGTAATTTGCTATAGCAGCTTCTGGAAATTAATATAACATCCTGTAAGGAGGTATATGAATTGCAAATTACAAAAAGGGAAGCAAACTTACGTTTTTTTTTTTTTTTTTTGACTACAAG